AAGGAAGCGGGAGGAAGCACCGGCGATGGAAGGGAAGCGATGGAAGGGATTGGATTTGAAATCCCGGCCCTTTGCAAAGGATTTCCAAATCCCGCATACAAGAGATTTTAATCAAATCCCTGGATTCCAAATCCCTTCAATTTGGCAAACCAAACACATGATTGGAATGGATTTCAAATCCAAATCCCCCTAAATCCATTCCAATTCCACAAACCAAACGCACCCTAAGAGTTTTGTACAGTAAGTGAGAGAAAAAAGTCTTATTTGGTAGGTGCTTATCGGGTTTAAGACAATTATCATAAATTCCGAAAATGTTACATTGTAAGGTAAGTGAGAGTGATGTCTGATACCTATAAATGCTTATTGGCCAGACCTTTGGTAAATGATACATAAATAATATTTTTATCCTTGATAATAAAAAAAGGTTAAATAACATTTTTATCTTTAATAACATAGAGAAGTTTTCTCCATCTTATGCTTATATGTATAATGTGAAATTAAAAACTTACTTTTAAAATAGAGTTATTTTAAAACAAATTTAAAAAGTAACACGGACACTTAATTTGATACCTTATTTTTTTTTTATCAACAGTTAATTATCAAAAGTAATTTTTTTTTGGTAATAAAATGATTTGTGGTGAAAACTAGGGGTTCTTGGGGTTGCTTATTTAAACTGTTTATTGACTTATTCAAGTGTAGTAATAGTAATAAGCAGTTTTTAGTGTTTCGATAGGGAGAAAAAAATGATTATACCGGTGTCAAACCGGTAATAAACAGTTTTTCATAAGTTGGTCCATTTTAACTTATTAGATTCAACATATTAGCTTTGAAACCAATTTACCTTTTTGCTCTTTTAAAAAACCTATCTGCTCGTCCTTGTAAACCTTCTTCTCTGTGATGCCTTCTTCTCTGTATTTCGCCACTAACAATACCACCAAAGATCGATCGGAATCGACATGGCGTGCACTCGATTTTCGTACCAGAGGCTGAATAACTAAAGAGGCGGGGGTGATGAAAACGAAAAGGACTACGACAAGGAAATCAAGAGAGAGATTAATCAAATTTCCAACACAATAACCATCTATTTCGTCCCTGAATGACTTTCATGCTGGCGACCATTGATTTCCAACACTGGCGATCTGAAACAAAAAGGGTTTTTGTTTGGTTGATAGAATCGATTGAAAAACCGATCAAGATTACCACTACAAAAATGCAGAGATCCGTCGGTAAAGGGGTGCTCCATCACTGATAGTCCATCGGTCAAGAGCTCGTAGGTAATGCTATCAGCGACTGATCAACGAGGGAATTCAACGACGGACCAGCGAGGGAACCTTTCAGCGACGGATCAACGAAGTAAATTTTCAACAACGGATCAACGAGAGAACTTTTAGGGACGGATCAACGAGGAAACTTTCAGCGGCGGATCAACAAGATAAACTTTCAGCGAGGAATGGGGAGGGACTTTTAGTGACAAATTTTCTCTCGCTAATTCGTTAATGTTTATTAATCTAAAAGTAAATAATTTATAATCACATAATACCTGTATTTATCTATTCAAAACCTGACCATAAAATAACAAACCAAAACTGTGAACAAATTAAAACTAACCAATTCATACGATTTAAAATATCTAATTGATAAAATTTAAAATATCCAATTCATACAATCTAACTACCGGGAGGTGAGGGATGAGGGAAAACGAATGTTCAAATTAGCAAGGGAACTGATTTTTGGCCTTTTAGATCAGCGATGGATTAACGAGAGAAATTGTTTTTGGCAATTAACTCGCTAATCCCTCACCAATCAGTGAGGGAACAACGGGGGAAATGGTTTTTGGTCTTTATCTCGCTGATCCCGCTGATTAGTGAGGGATTAGCGAGAGAGATTGCTTCTGACCAATTCCCTCGTTGATCCCTTGCTGATCAGTGAGGGATGAGCGAGAAAACTAGTTTTTGGTCTTTTCCTCGTTGATCCCTCGCTGATTAGCGAGGGTTTTTTTTTCCGCCGCTGATTTTCGTCGCTGATACCTTGTTTTCTAGTAGTGTACTGAGTTGTTTATGAGATTTGTAGCTGCGATTTGAGAGAGCGAATTGAATTGTGATTCACAATGCAACCAACAATTGTCTCTTGTTTGGATCCAGGTTGCTATTGCGAGGAGATGACAAACAAATAACCCAAAAAGTAAACTGTTCCCGAATAAACAAATATACCTTTTTTGGTCATTTTACATGTATAAGCAAACTTTGCCAAATCACATTTTGGTACCATCATAATCTAATTTAAACACTTTTTATAAAACTCATGTTTGACATTACAGAAGTTGTTAAGTACTTAAAAAAAACATAAGTTGTTCTAAATAAGCAATCCCAGATACCACCTAAAAACCAATACACT